CTAATAGTGATGAAACAGAAGATACAATATAAATAGCAGGGTAAAATTCAAAGTATATGCTTTTATCGCAACGTTAATAAAAAATTTTTTTTTTAAATTTTGTATCACCATCGATCTTAATAAGCTTCTAGAATGTTGATCATTTACATAATTAGAAATTCCATATATGGAAAAACACCGGACTGAATTGTTTATTTGGTACAGGAAAAAAATAAAAGCCGTAAATTATTCATATCGATCTGAGGATGCTTCGAGTATATGTATTGAGAGAACTTTTCTTACTACGTATATTTTCCAATACGCAGTTACATCTATATCACACAGGCATTGCATTAGTTAGCATCATTTCACATAGTATTTTTCAAGATTTACGACAAGAACGTAATATATGCTTTATTTAAGAAATAAAAAAACGTTACTGAAACTCGGCCTACAATACATAAAAATTGCGAATATATCACTTTACATAATACAAATATAGATAAAAAATTTCTAACTGGTTGGGAAATCACTTGATTTCAAACCAAACCCTTTCACATGATAAATTGCTAATTCTCCTTTTCGATTATCTTGATTTTATAAAATAAAACTATTAGAATAATGAGAATCCCATCAATAAAATACAACCATAATGCTATGCAAAGCATCTTTGTATAATTACTCACATAGATCTTTAATATAATCCTCAAGTTCTAACGCTTGTCTTAATATCATTCTGTATTCCTTAAATTTTCATCCGGTTAGCTTGAGAAATAAATGATCAGCGATTTGTTCATCATTGTCACCGTGGAATTCTTCAACTCGAGGTGGTCACGTTATCAAGTCTACTCAAAATTTCTTAACTACGGCTTACTGCGATTAAGACGTTAGGATCTGCCTAATTCTTAACTTTACTAGGCCTACGCGTTGAACTTAAACAAATCTATCAAGTATGAAGACTTGAAAGACGAGATTATAAACAATTTTAATTAAAGAATTTCAATGACGAACTCAATTACAAATAATGTGTAAAGATCACATCAGACTATATGAAGACACAAAGAGGCAGAAAGATATAGGTTTTAAATTGATTCCTTTATTAATATTGAAACTCATATTCACAAAAGAGTTTACAAATCTGCAAAAGAGTTAATTTACAACATAAGCAAAAAGTCTATCTATTTATACAAAATTTCTTTCATCACGGCTAACTAATTACTATGCTATAAACTAACTAATTTGGCAAAATAAACTATAAGTAAAATAAATACATTGAGAATACGTAAAATAATAAAAATATAAAATAAATAATAATAATAATAAAATTTAGAATATTAAGAATGTGTATAACACCAAATATTCTTAGACTTCGTTTAATTATGATTATTATCAGTATTTGGAAGATCTTCAAAGTTACACAAATCCTCTGTATTTCCAGAATTCACAGAATTCTCAGTATTTTCAGAATTCTGAATTAAGAGATCGTCATACTGCGTCATTCATGTGACTTCATTATGACTGGTTAATTGCTCCGTTGACATCATGAAGCTTTGTAAAAAAGTTATTGTCAAGTTTTAAGCTTTCAAAATTAGAATCGCTTCGTAAAAAGCTGATAAGTCTTTCAGTTTCCCATCCTTTTATCGTGTCAGCCATGGAAGACATCTTGTTTTCTTAAATATAAGAATCCATTGTAAAAAAAACTTGCTCCATACATACAATACATAACTTCTAGCACATACAAACCTTATTTTGCGAAAAGGTTAGCTGAACTTCCACACTCTTATATGCTTTACATCTTGCTGGGAAAAAGTTAAGGAGATATGAGACGCGATTAGCATTGTCATATGATGCTAAGAGCTTCATAAAAGCACATGTAAACAGAATCCTCATACCTTTTCACATGTAGATCTACCAGAAAGATGCAAAGGTAATTAGTTCTTATAGATCTCGAAATTACAAAGTCCTCAGCCCTTCATAACATATGCTTTTGATGTTAATATTTACTTTTACAGTAGGTCCTGTGTTGCAACTAGAACTCCTTTCACATTTTCTCACATTTGTTTGAGGAAAAAATAATGAACAAAAGATAATATGTTTTCTTTTTCGAATATATGTGCAAAAATTAATATGTTATACAAGACCCCGATTAATGATCCACTTATTTTTTATCATACAGAAGTATATGCATGTGGCTCAGCAAAAAAAATCTGATCAACGATCACCACTTCAGACTATTGATCTAGCCAACCCTGGATCAAAATACTACTGCAAATTATTTTGCATATTTAGATCTAAGAGGCTCTAAAGACTCTAAGCTAAAATCTATCTACTAACAACATTGTTCTGTGTAAGATGATTTCTAACCACTCTAATGAGATCAGGAGGCATTAAAGTTTTCACAAAATCCTCTACGTGAATATCTGGATTTAGCTGATTCACAGCTTTTTTGCTAATATTATAACACCCCCTCAGATTAAGAAATTTTAAATTAAGACATAATCTAGCAATTTCTTCAATAGTTATATCAGTAATTTTACAAAAGCTAAGGTCGAATTGTCGGAGCCTTGGGCAAGAACGAATAATATTACAAATTGATATTTCAGAAAATTCTGTGTGTTTAAAAATATTTAGACATTCTAATTTATGACATAAATTTGCGATTGCAGTTAGACCTATATCATTTTTTGGCCAAAATCCCCTGCCTAAATTAGATATATTAAGATACTCCAAATTTGGGTATAATTCTGCTATTAGCTTTAGAACTTTACCTGTACAGTCTGTACTTCCTTCAAAATCTAAATGAATTATATTCGGGAATGTGTATACAATACTTTTAATTTTTTTATTTGAAAGTGAAGGGTAGTGTGTTATTTTAAGATGAGTTAGTTTCGGGTTATAAACTGATTTTCTTTCTCCTCCAGGTACTATTTTTAAAAATCTTTCCAATCGAAATTTATCATCTACTTCATTTCCCTTTAGCTTAATGTGTCTCCATAAAATAGGAGCATTATATCTGTATCACAATCAGGAAACATATAGAGCGGGATAGAGAGATTTATTTATCGCTAAAAAATGTAAAATCTGTTCTAATAGTTCTGGTAAATAAAAGATGCTTGATTGCGCTATACATAATGCATATTATATATTATATCTTTAAATGGAAAAATAAAATTACATGATCACTGCTTTGAACTGGCTGGCTTAAAAAAACAATCATCTTTTTGTGTAAACTCTAGCTCCTGTGCCAATCTATCCAATGTTAATTTAAGACTAATTATATAGGTTTCTTGTTAAAATTCAGGCGCAATCTCGCCCCTTTGATCTATCAATCTGCAGGGTAAATACTTTCCATCCCAAAGAATTTATTTGAGGGAGTCTTTAATCAAAAAATAATATTAATGATGAGCACCTGACTTCAGATAATCACATAGCTCAGAATAATCAAACACACCTACAATCCTATCCTGTCTTTTATTTTTAACAGTGATAAGGCCAGTTGCCCTATCATATGTGTGATCATATTTGGCCAGATTGTATAAGGGCAAATATTGTATAGATTTAGTAGTAAATTTACCTGCGGTCTTGCGTCAATTTCTTAGCTATTACTAGATAGTTTATCTGATTTAATTAATCTATTCTTTTCTGAATAAATATGAGAAATAAGGGAGGGCTGATTAATCAACCTAGCATTTCATCTATATCACTTTTTAACATTTTTATATATCTGAAAAAAATAAACTGAATATTTATCACACAATCTGGCCAAAAGTGCTGTGCATAGCTCGTCTATTTCCAAATTTCAGCTAACATTGCATCAATTTTTGCTAACATTAAATCCATATCCATTGTTTGAGACTTTTCTCTGGCTTGATCCTGAGTACTGCTATTCCTAATCTGAGACATAGGTGAAGAAGCCTGTGTTTCCAGCACTGGGCTAATCCCTTTAGAATCACTTAATCCAGATTCAGAACCGGAGTCCTCTGACTCTGTTTTGTAATCAGTTTCAGTTTCAGATTCAGATTCTGTATCGCCTATAGCATAATTGTCTCCCGTATCAAGGTGGTCTGATTCTTGCTTTATTGCAATTCTTGAAAGCAGTTTAAGATGTTGAGGAGTTGGTTTCTTACCACCATGAATTCTGGAAGCGTGTTTACTTCCATAATCTCTTAAATTTTTAGGCTTGGTTCTATAAGGCTCTTGCTTTAAGAATTCGTTAAATGGCCAAGCATTACGTGTTCTACTTTCAGTATAGACAGGATCACGCAACTTTTCTGCCTTAATTGCATCTCAAATCCAGGTGAGTAATTCCTTTACGCGTTCTGGATTCTTCTCTATGGAGAAAAAGGGATGAGGAGAAGGATTTTTTTTCTTTTTTCCTTTACTCTTTAAATAGCCTGTACAGTACCAAGAATAGCCTTCTTTATACCACGCTGGAATGTTTGAAGGGTCCAGTTTATAATAATTAATCTGAAGAGATCTTACTTCTGCAAGTCTCATACTCAATATCACAATCACATCTGCGAGATTCTTCCTAATAGGGATTTTAGAAACATCCATATTCTGGATTCTCTTTTGCACGTTTGCTAAGGAGAAATGTTTGGAAATTCTGTCTGAATTAGCCATTCGTTTCTTAGTTTGTTTCTTCTGAATTTTATTAGAATCTTGAATAAGTTCCTTATCTTTAGCAAAGGTATCAATAATTGCAGTTTCTACACCACCTTCTACTAACTTCGTATGGAATATTGACTGACGTGAAGCATCAGTAATGATTTCATTTTCATTTTTATTTTTTGGATCTAATGCCTAATGATTAGCGATAATGTCTACAAAAGCACCATTCTTAACGCAGTATTTTGCCCTTTCCTCTATGGTGAGCTTTCCCTTTCTTTTATCTGGCAGGAGAGTCTCTATTTTCTCTTTACTAAATGAGCATCTGTTATCAGTGCCTCTGGTAAGAGCAACTTTAACGCACCTGCGAGCCATCCAATCAGGAAGTAAAGCATTCAGTTCAGAAGCATGTTCGCTTAATTATTCTAGGGTGGAGTCAGCCGTCAAATTATGCTTTTCTAGGAATTGCTCTAAGACCAATACAAAGTTATTAGCTTTAGGTTTTTGGGTCTTTGAGGTAGCCGTTTTGGTAGTCATATCCATACTAACTGTTATCTAGTTATATTATGTGAGAAAAAATTCAATTCGAAAAATTCCTTTATACTTCTTCGGAAAGAGAAAATATCAGAGATGGCTCTTTACTCGATTAAAGGAACGAAAAAATTGATATAGCTTATGTTCTGCCATTAAGGCACTTCGCAGATTGGTATACATTTTTGAATATCTATAATAAAAGTGAAGATGAAGTTTTGAGATTATTAGTATCAAAATTACTTTGTATGGGTTGTTTTATCTGCTAATACATTAAGAAAAATAGTTCGATCTGTGGAAAAGGATGCATGAGTGAATTAGGATGCGCTAGACATATTAATGCCTTTCCTAGAATAATATATCCTATCCGTAATGAGCTAACATATTCTGATACTGGAATCTGTAGCACACATAAAAGAATTTATAAAAATGCCTGACGTGTAGGTAAAAAAGTTAAAATGAAATCAGACATGATCGAGACACCTAGCTGAATAATAATCTGACCAAAGTATTATTTTTCCTATCTTATAGAGTCAAAGAGTTTCTAAATATCATTATCTATTTTCGGCCTGTATGGTGGAAGCTCTGGTGCACCTTTATCTCCAAAACCAAGACTATCATATGGTTGCTGATTAATTTGATATGAACATTCCCAAACTCATTGTTCTTTAGGTCCTATTTTTTTCCTATTTATCTTTATAATATAGCCACACCAATTCTTAGTAATAGCATTAATTGCCCTTATAGCTGAATTAAGATCTGATGTTACCTTAGCATGAGACTTGAATCTGAAGAGTAATAGGGATTGATCCAGGATTTCTACAAACCTCTCGCAGGATTGTATGAATACTTTGATACTATATTATTAGAAAGAATACGCTTATCATCTATGCTGGTAAAGCCTAGTATTTGAAAGAGTTTCCTTATAACTTTCCAATGATTAGCTGAATATGATTTGTGCAAGTCTCCTGCTACTGATTTCTCAGAATTATATCCAGCTTTATAATAGGTATCTTTCTATTGTGCAATATCTTTGGCCTCTAACCCTTTCATTGCACTTTTCTCATCATAGCCTTGCTTTCGAAAGTGAGATAACTACAAGAAATGTTTCTGAAGTTCAGACGAACTGAAATGGTTGACAAACTTTTTATTACAAAGATTATCCCAAATCTTATTATCCATATCTTTACCATAAATATTTCACATATAGAAATATTTAAGTGCCATAGTATTTGGAATAGAGCGCTCTTGGTCAAACTTAAGATTTTCAGCTTCTTCAGGATCAAGATTCCTGAAAGTAACAACTGCATTAAAATCTGTTTCTTTGATAACTAATGCTTCAACCCTAACCTCATTGCGGACTTTTTTATGATTCTCTATAACTTTTCAGCTCTCATCTATTTTTGTTAGCTGAAGAGAAGCGCCAGTACTGGCTATAAGACTACAAAGCTTCTCAATAAAGAATCTTACAGAAAGGCATTTCTGATACTCAACTTCAATAAATGTTATTACAGCTGGAGATTCATCAATTTTATAAGAAATGATATTGTTATCCCATTTACGATGATCTTTTATTGCTATAGGTAAGTTATTAGGCTGAGCACTAGTAAATTCTGCCCAAATATTTTTACGACCTGGTAGGCGAAAAAGTTCGTTAGAATTTTTCTGATAGAATATAGAAATCATATGACGAGGACAATCACAAATTCGGTAAAGTATTTGTGCAAGAGCTTCGACATGAACTGGAGTAGCGATATTTGTAATAGCTATAACTATATCAAAGTGACCTGTAACCTCAAATGATATTTCCGCTTCTACTGTATTTGTATAAGCTATACAGTCAAGCTTGCTTCAAGCGACATTAATATCAGAAAAGGCTTTTTGTCGCTATTTCCCATCCATGTCTTCATAATAAACACGTGCTCTGATAGGTGAATTATCAGGTTTTACTAATTTTGATGCCTTTTCTACTAAAGCTCTAGCCATTACTGCTCCTGTAGATATAAATGCCACACGTTTTTCCTGTTTTAAAAGTTCACATCCTATTCGTATGGCTTCAGTTCCACTATTCAGATCATAAAGAATTTCAACTGTCTTACCCATATGAGACTGGTATCTATTATCAATTATACAAATATCTTCATCACGATATGTTTTAAGGAATGCTAATGTTGATTTATTCGCAAAGGCATCTATTGTGACTACATATCTTGCAAATCTTAAAATATCACGCAATGTATTCTCAGATTCTTGTGCATTTGTACTGCTGGACATTTAGCATATAATAGCATTAGCTTCATCAAGAATAGCCACAAAAGGACGGGCTGTGAATTTGACACGAAAAAGACTTTCAACCTATACTATGATAATATCCCACTCATTTATAGATAAGTCTCCTTGCATATTTTAGTAATTGCAAATTCAAAAGCCAGATGCTTTTAACAAATCAAGTTTGGCTTTTGATTCATTATTGAGAGATTTTCAGTAAGAGATCCAAATAAAGTATGGTAAAGAAGAAATATCATACACTTTATCTTTTAATGCCATAATAATCTCTCTCAACGTAGTAGTTTTTCATGTTGTCAGAGATGAACGAATTAGTGTGGTAGTTTTTTCAGAACTCAAGAAATTAGGATATGATTCAGAGGCATCTTTTAGCTTTTTAATATTAATAACTTTCCCTGGTAACTCTACAAGAGGATGTGGTTTTGCTATGGCATTGGCCAGTCTATCAACAATTTTTTGTTTAGGTATTTCTTTCAGCTTAATTATATCTGATGCTTCCTTAAACATCAATCCTTTATGATCAGGTTTGTATTGTTTCTGCTGATAGCATCTAAGTACAAAACATCCAATTCTAAGAAGAAAACTATATAACTGATCCCTTTCATATTTGATTTCGCAAATAGGACACGTTTCATATGACTTTGCTTGGAAGTTAACAAATCCCTTTCTAATATGCCAATTTCAAGCCACTCATATTTTACTGTAACTAAACTAGCTCTCTTGCTTAAGGTGGTTTCATTTTCGATAGGTTGAAATTCATCCTTTTCTAGCTTTTCAGGAGAAAAGGTCTGTGGCCAGATTTTGGAATAATCAGATTTAAATTGAACTAAGTAATCTTCTAGCTTGCGATATCCTTGTTTAACTGAAGAAACCGCAGGTCTTTTAACTCTATTTTCCTTTACCAATCTAAGAAGCCGAAGACTAAAATGTGATTTATAAAGCCCAAGGTCAATAAATTTAGAATATGGTTTCTCAACCCTATCAGCAACTTTTTTCACAAATCCTCTAAGATCTCTGTAGTCAACGAACTGTGCATATTTATATATGATATGCCAGCTACATTTATCAGAATTAGACGAACTGGCTAAGGCAAAAGCATCTAATATTGCAAAATGTTTTAAGTCAAAATATAAGATATCAGCGCAGGCAATTAAGATTCTGGATAATAAATCTTCACGAGAAATTTTACTTTCATCTAAAGAAGGGAGTTCAAGATTTATAGGATCAGGGTTCTGCCTCATATCAATATCTAAAATCAGGCAGAAAGGCAGATTCCCATCAATGCACTCGTGAGTATCGGAGATCCCATAAATTTCAGATGGATGATCAACTACTGTAAAACCCTTTCCTGACACTCGAACTATATATTTTAAATAAATCTCTTTAGGATGATAAGCTCCTAGAAGAGAAATATCATTTTTATTATTGAACAAATATTGAAAATACATATGATCATTGTAATCAGGCTTATAATTGAGGTCTGCTAAATCAGAGAAGAGCCTAGTTGCATCATTTATTATTTTAGGGTAAGGCCCAGGCTTTTTTTATGCAAGCATGATACAATGTATGGAAATAATAAGTATAAAATTATATGTAAATTTCCCAAACCTTCAAAATAAAAAAGTATAAACCATTCTGGCTTCTAATCAGATTACTAGTGTAAGTATGCAATAAATATACTAAATAATACTTCAAAGCAATCAATGCAATAATATTCTGAAGTAGTATTATGCAG